ACGGTCTTGGCTCGCCGCAGCATCCCGTGGCCCTTGAAGGCGTCCGCCAAAGGCAGCAGCGTGATAGCCACCAGTAGAAGCAGCATCGGCCACGCCGGAAACCACCTCATTATTCTCTCGCCTGTGTAGGGCATGAAAGCGGTAGGAGGCGCGGCTTTAGTGGCTGGCCAATGCACATTTCTTCGTTGCCCACATGTCCCCAACGGAGTTGCCCCACAATCGGCAGCTATGCCGCTGTTGGAAGCTCTTGACTAGAGGGAAAACCACAGAGTGCCGTGGCGCAAATCCTGTGTCTGGGTCTTGAATAATCTGACTCACACGACCCAAGGAGGGGAAATCGGGTCGGGCAATAAAGCTGTCCCTTGGAGGCCAAGAGCTTTCATGGCTCACGCGGTGATCTATCTATCTACCTCTCTTTCGCGTGTGACCAGCCTGAGCAGCAGCTGCATGGAGCAAGGGATACTCATCTGTGCGTGTACCGTAGCCACAACGAGAGAGAATCCGAGGGTCGACTTGGCTCCAGATCAAACAGCAAGCATGCTTTGTGGGATGATCATGCTCTTTCCGCCAGCGGCCTTGTGTGCGAGCAGAGCGCATCCACGGCGTGGCCCGTCGCCGAACATGTTGATAGACATGCACTGCGCACACCGGCAAACTCCAAACGCCCGGGCGCGCTCCTCCCCATCGAGTCTATCTGTTGGGTGTGTGCACTTCCCTCCTCCCCTCACAACAGCACAAACAAACACGCACTCCCGTACCTGCTTCTTGCCCCTCTCGCTTTCGCTCCTCTCTCGCGCACGATCTTGCTTCTTGTCCTCTCACTCAACAGCAGGATCGATCGGCGGCCGTTCTCCGAAAAGAGCCAGCAGCCGAGTTACGATCCGTTTGTGCCCTCTTCCAAAACCACCAGCTTTCCCTCTCTCCGCTCAACTTGCGACTCCAGCAAAAAAAGGCGGGAAGAGATGGGAGTGACACGGGTTCAGTCCTCTACAGGATGCGTCCCGGCTTTCTCTTAACGCTTCCAAGGGGTTTCGAATCTGTTACGCTTCGGCAGCCGGTAGCATGAAAAGATGAAAAGGCACGCCCACAACGAGCAACTTTAGAAGACATGTATCCGTCCGCACGACCATATCACCGATCAGATTAGGTCCGGCATTCTGCATTCATTCCGTTGTCGATTCTCCCTTCCAGCATGCTGTCGTTGGCGGGACGTATCCCGTGATCTGGTTCCATCGCTCCCACCAGCACGGGCGCTACGATGTGGTGATGGTGGAGGTCGTGCGTCTTGGCAAGCTTGACCGAACGGGGCCCTGCGGAAGCTATCGATGTTTTGACCTGTTGTACCCCCGCCGTCTTGTACCCCCCCCGTCTGCCCTCACCATCTGAGGGCCCCTGCCTGATCTCCGCAATCTCCGAAGATTTCAAAACACCCAGCTCGTTCGTGTATGTGTGTGTTGTGATTGCTGACAGCACCGCGACCCTACTGCTGTGTACAGCGTTCGTATTTGTGTTGTGCGGTGTACCTGTCGCCATCTTCCCTGATTTTCGACTCAACGTCCCTCTCCGGGAAACTATCAATTGTTCCGCAGCTTCATTCGCGCTGCTGCAG